GTCTAACATAGAGTTAATTAAGTTGCAGAAATTATAGAATAATAATTGCGAGATTGTAATCGCGATCTTTTCTTTGCCTACGATTAACATCGCGACAACCGCTTGGACGTATCGCCTTCAAGTGGAACGGCAAACTAATTAGTTCGATTAGCAGTTGTATTATCAAGCTCATAGTTGTGCAACAACGTGCTCCCCGAGAATTTATCATAATTCTGTGTCCCTATTTGTTGCCGCGTAGTATTAACGATGCACGCTCGAAGTTCACGCGAGCACGCATTGGCGAAGCAAATTAACATTAAAGCTCCTAATAATATCATCACGTCACGTTCCGATCTGTAATAACGTTGCTCATCTAAGAGCGCCGATTGTACGAAGAATGATCCTAATCTCGCGATTCCTCTCCTCCCGACATTACGTCTATCTAACACACATTGCAAGTTGATGAATTAAATAATACGCAGAGAAAAAGATGCTAATTCTAATTTGTGTAATCAATATTAATGATACTGTGAGAATTAGTCTTGGTAAGACGTTAATTTACTTGCCATTCATCAATTTGTACAGGAATGCAAGTAAATAGTAATGCAAAAATGCGACGGTTGTTTTATATCCGTTTCTTCGCACAACAGCTACCAAAGGCAGCATTGTTCTTCAAGTCGAATACTTGAATCGAAATGTATCTACATTACTCACGAAGAAGTCGTTGACGTTTGCATTTCGGGTCGATGTTTTCACAATCGGTTAGTACGACTGCACTATGCGCGATGTAAAAGGAGGTCATGGTACAACCAAATGGCAATAATAATACAAGAACTTAAGTCCCTCATTCCGTCAACCGATATTCTGAAAACCTGAACTTCAAACCGATGTACATACGCTGGCGACATCTGGCGGCAAAGTGGAGAATGTCGTGGCGTAACTTTACATTTCTGCGAGATTAATTGGGTATCGGTAACTTACCCAATTTTGTGAACATAAATTCGTAGTTACCTACAGAGTTATGACCGACATCATCTCCAAAATAATTTTTTCGTTGATTACTGCAAATACTTTGTTGACCAATCAGAAGAAAGAATTTTACAAAGTCATCAAAAAATGCTTCAAAGTATTTGTAGCGTGAAGTCAATCGCATTTATATATGTAATTGTTTGTTAATAGGAAAACTTTTCAGGAGAATTTGTAAAATTCTAAAGAAAAAAACATTTTAAGAAAAAAATAGCACAATTCCAAATAATATATTTATTTATAATTATTTCAGCATTTCTTCACGATGTGTGTCTAACTCAAAAAATATTTCTTTTCTGTTATTATTACGAACTTGCGCACAGGATAAACGACAATTTTGCCCCCTAGTGGTAAAATGGGAGAGTTACAAATGTTTTTTCAACAAAAGTGTACCATCTTTCGAGATGACTTCTTGCCATTATCTCAAAACACTAATTTTTTACTTATGCCACTTTTTTATCAAACAAGATATATACTATATTTTATAAATTAGTCGAATAGATGATAGGATATGTAGAGAAAAGTATTAGCGTCAATCGAAAATATCGTACTGAAAATGATTGTACCAACAGCACATTTGTATCATTCATATTTATTACAAAATTTATTGTACTTGGCAATTAATCTCCATACAGCACAGTATTTGCAAAATCTCTACAATATTGTTACAATATTCATGCAATATTCATGCTGCAACTTTTGTGCAATTTTGTAGGGATCAAGTTTTTAATTAAAAATATATACATAATTACATTTAAATAATGTCTATATATAATTATATTTATTACGCAGCTGTTAGAATACGTTTAAGTGATAAATTTAATTGGTAATAAATTTCAATTTTAATTATGTATGAATTTGAATAAACAAATATATTAGAAATTATAAAGAAAAAAAAAACATAATCGCGTGACTTTTATTTTTAGACTATTTTAAGAAAAAAATATTTGCATTGATCTGAAAATGAATATTTCATAAAATCCTATAAAAAGCAACGTCACGGTCTCAATTTAATGCTTAGCGACTGGATTTATTCAATTTTCATCATCAGATCGTTCGATTCAAGATTGATACTACATCATTTACATACATTTTCTCCGACGAGATACTATTAAAGACAACCTTGGGCAAATTTTCGGCGGTATAAAAAGGGCCCCAAAGGTCCGGAGGTAATTGAAGAATACTGACATTATCGACAATTAATATAAATTTGCTATTATTAACATAAATATTTGGCCCATACATTATTAAATTCATGATTTTTTATTACATAAATGTTCCATAAATAAATATGCATTCTTGGAAAGCTATAATATCCTATATATTGCAAAAAAATTACAATTTTTTTTTCTCCAATTATCATCTCTGTTAATAATCAAACTTTGACGATAACACTGAAACTACAATTTTAAAGAAAAATCGAGTATTATTGAGTTCTAAATACATAAAGACGTCTACTAAACTAATAAATCATAAAATTAGTACAATATTATCAGTTTTTAACTCTTACTTCAATATTCACAAAGAACTCTCATAAGGATGTCGGTCTTTAATAGTATCGATGATTTTCTACTGCCCAGCGTCAATTTTAATTATATAATCTCTTTTAATTGACGTTGGAAATGAGCTTCAAACGTAAACGTAAAATGAAAATAGGAAACCTTGAGATGTACTGTCTTAATTATTTTAATCATCTTCTTAATAATAACGAAATTAACGAATGCAACATTTAATGGTACTTAAAGTAGCTTATATTTGCCGCTTTTACCGTCACCTGCTGACTAACCTAACCTAACCTAAGTTCCATCCTGCTTTCCAGCTGCACCTGTTACGCGGATAATACCTGGCGTCGTCAACAGAGAGCACGACATGCTTCCAAATAATGCGAAAATGTCAATAACTTCGAGACAAATCAGCAACTGAGAATATCATCCTATACTTTGTTTCGAGAATCAATATAATCGTGTCTTATACAAAACGCGATTAAATCTCGCGCATAAATTTTTCAACTATTCGGTTGGGAAGTTTAGTAAACAAACTTGCATTCGTTTTACGGACACTGTTAATGACCGACCTAAACGACCGGAAATGACGTGTGAATTGAGAGGGAAAGTAATATTTTCGGAGAGAAAATACGTAATTTCGTCGAGTCAGGCGAGTCTTGTTGAAATCATTGCAAGCTGATTGGACGTACGTAACTTGTCGCGTTCGCTCGAGCCACCTAATATCGCGTCGTCGTAACCGATATGGCTGGGAAATGTGCCATGTGGCCAGGTGCATCCGCAAAGATTGGCTCGGCCATGTTGGAATATTCAAACGTTCATGGCGGTATTTACGTTGGGATGCATTGTCGGTAAACAACGATTGGCGGTCGTGACGGAGACGCGAGCGCTCGTCTCACGTCGAAAATCGCTTTTATCCTCGCGACGTAAGCTACAAGAACAAATTTACGACACGACTTCGGCCGAGACCGCGAGATGCTCGACTCGTAAGTGGATGCGCCGAATGCAGTACAGTCAGCGTCATAGGTAAAGACGGCATGTGCGACGAACGTACTGTAGGGACTTGTTTAGATGGAAAAATCAAGCGTGGCGCTTCATAAGAAAACTCTTGGTCGTATCAAACTGATACGATTATGTGATGGTAGTATCGCCATGCGACGCACCGTTTCGGAGATATGCGTTTCCAAAATTTATTTATCACGGCGCGTTTGCCGATAGTTTTGGACGTTACTGTACCGCTAACATGACGAAGGAACCAACTGGCCGTACCGACCGTCGCGGCCCGTTAAAATATTGTGCTGATTGGTCGCGATTACGCTTAAAAGGATGACTTTTTCGGTATGCGAAGAATTGGGACGATTAGATATCGTGATGATGTAACAAGCTGAACATTTTGTTATTTTCTGTTCACGCTGTCGCGCGTGCATATATTCTTTTCTCAAGATGACCGTTAAACACTGCAAACGGTTACGATAATTCGATAAAGATAACAAGAATTAATTAAACAAGTAGTACGAAATATTCTAAACGCACACGATGACAAACAAAAATACATCCGTTTATTATTTTTTTTTTTGCATCAATTACACCCGTCATTGCGATCTTTGCATTCTTTTTAATTATATCCCTAGAACACAGAGCGATTGTCATATGACGCGACTAGGCGGCTCGACGCTACGAAACTCGGAGTATGCTCGGTACAGTCAGCGACAAAAGGCTCGCGTGGCACGAGCGAGGAAAACACGTATTGGGTCGGTTAAATCGCAATATTGCGTCAGGGGCGTCATGAGAAATTTGTAGAGAAAAAAAAGTTGGCCCGATTTGGTGTATATAGTATCCGTCTTCAGGCTCGCGTTGAGGAGTTATTGCGCGTCGAAGATGATTTTTCTGTAGGCGCCGCCAGTCAGCGACGCGCGCAGACTGTACCGTGGACGCCACCGGCAGCCACGAGCGGTCGCTTCATGTATAGTCAGTTGAAAAAGTACGGTCGGTGTGCTGTGAAGAAACATCGAATTGGCATCCTCGGATCGCCGAATTACGCGTGGGGCGTGATGAGAAAATTGTAGATCGTAAAAAACTAACACGATTTGGTGTATATAGTATTCGTCTCGGTACGATCGTTGTCGAGTTATTCGCATTCGCAGGCGCGTCGGATGGATGCGTATCGGAGCGCTTTCAGCGCCGACTGTACCAACGGACGCTACGAGAGTCCGTAGCCGGCGTAGGCTCAGTTGGCAGCAGTACGTACAACGAGTAGCATCTACCATGGCCGATATCTCAAAGGAGGAGCTACGCAAGGAGATCACCGGTAAGTGACGATATTACGTGATGTAGGCGATTTCGGTGCGGAATATCATCGTAATAAAGGTACGTTCGGGCGTACGTACTCGTTGCGCGTCGCCATCGCATCGGGAATACAGGCGAAATCGGGCTCTTTGCTCTTGCGACGTGACGACTTTAGCGCGCACGTATGTGCCCAAGTGGCGTGCCCCACGCCGGCCATTATAACTGCGGCTTACCGTATTTTACCATCTACGTCGCGGGCTAACGGTAGGACCGGCCGTATAACCGCTCCGTGCAATCCGCTCGCGATTTTTCATCTAGTCATTTCGGTGTCCTGGCGAAAATTCGGATTTTTCGTCTTTCGCTATAAAAAGATAGCTTTCTCGTCCCGTCCTTGCGGCGGGCCGTATGACGCGTCTCGAGTGTGTGGTGGCGCGCGCCTATCAGCCTCGCTCTCGATTCGTGTCCTATTCCCACTCTCTCGCTCTCTCGCTCGCTCGTACGTACTCTGTACCGCGTCACGGCGGATTTTTATGTCGTGGGAGATAAAAAAAAAAGTGCGTATATATTCCTGTGTGAAGCTCCTTCGAGAAAGATACGCTTCACGTCGATCGGAAACGGCCACGCGCGCGCGCTGCCCTTTTTTCCCTCCTTCGCGCGCCTCTCGCGTATCGCCGAATGGATCGTCATTGGTTATAACCGGAGTCGCTGCCGCCCGCCTCCACCACCGTCCGTTGCCGTTAATATGCCGAGATATTCGCCAGTTCGCTATCTTTCCTCCATTACCGATGTAACGCGACTGTAGCTGTCCATCGCCATTACAAATCATGTCTCGCCCGTCGCGAGTTACAAAGCGGCGGTTGATGATTAACGAAGCGCGCCGCGTTTCGCTTATTTTGTATTATTATTTTTCTTTTTATTTTTTTATTATTCAAGAACAGTTTTTGGCGAGCGTCGCGAATCGACCGAGCGCGCGCGCGCGAGCGAGCGAGCGAGCGTACACTCCATTTCCCTTCGCTTCTCTGTCTCTCCTCTTATTCCTTCCATCTTTCTCGCGGTTTTCGATCGTTTCGGGAATCAATGCGCCGCACAATCGACCGCGGTACGCCGAGAAAAATCCCTCCGCGTCTCGCTCCACGCGTCACAACGATGACTCGTTGCGTACTTACAGATATCTTTTTATTAGAGTCGCGCGCTGCTCCGATCGGCGGCGACCGGCACGGCGCGCGCCGCGCGCCACGGCGGCCATTTGCGCTCGATACTCACTAGATCCCCCCGACGCGGGAAACCAAACTATTCCAGAACCTCGCGTGTACACAAGCGCGGAGAATTGAGCGGCGAAGCGTAACCTTCCGCTCTTGCACGCGAACAATTCATTTTGCGCGGCTTTTTTAACTTGTACTTTAAGGACCGTTTCGATCAATTCTGATTAACTTTATTAATCGACGATTAATTCGATTTTGCAAAATTATTTAAAACATAACATCTCTAATATATAATTTTATTGTTCTTAATCCTTTTTTTAATATAATTAAATATAATTCTATTAATTAATTTGATACTTTTATTTATATTGCTTATTAAAGTGCTGATTAAGTTAATCGGAATTGATCGAAATGACTTTTGATTGTCATTTATTTCTCTCTTCATTACCTCATTCCTTCCTAAATAATAATATTAGTGTTGCTTAAAAGTAGCAAATAAAAAAAATTCTGTTATAAATAAAGTGTCTACAGAAACAATATGCATTATATTTTTTAATTACTTTTAATAGATTTAAGAAATTATAAAATACACAAATTGATATTTGGATAACTATTTAAATTTCTAAGGGCTTCAGAAAAAATTTGTTATATAAGAATATATATAAACATATTTAAAGATATGTGATTGTATATGAAACTTATCCATATATTCTTTTGTATAATTACTGTTTGACACAAGAAAAATAATAATGAGAAAACAAAAAATAATTACAAGGTTTATTTTCGCATTGTTGCTTTTACAAAAATTTAAGTTTGAACAAAATGAGACGAAAAATTACACATATATAATTATATTCAAATTATACGCAATTATATATGTGCAATTTTTTATTTTTTCAAACTGAATTTTTTTTTTAAACTGCAAAAGTAAATCTTTTTAATTACTTTTTGTTTTTTTATTGTTTTTCTTGTCAAACAATAAATTTACAAAAGAAAGGACATATGATCAAATTTCGTATATAATTACATATTACTATATTTTTTACATATATTCTTATATGAAAACTTTTTTTGGGAATAATTGTTTAAATAATAATGGTCCTTAAAAATTTTCAAATTTTTTTGGTTTTTGCAATATAATATTTATGTTATTAATATAAATATTATATTGCAAAAACCGAAAAATATTTTAATGTATCTTAATTACAAAGTGTAATTATATTATGTTTATTAATTTTGTTTAGCTATCCTCAAGGATGCTGATCTCACTACAATGTCTGCTAAAAAAGTGAGGCAACAAATCGAAGAAAAACTCGATGTTGATCTCATAGAAAGGTAAGGCGATAAATAAAAACATACATATAAATGAAATATGATTACAGAAATATTTTTGATTATATATTTTTACATCTTATATTTTGATATATGATAAGATACGACAATTATTCATGCATTAGCACATAAAAAAAAAGCAACGGCACCATTTCGATACCAAATCGATTCATATTACACGACACGACAAAATATTTTTCTTCGATATACATGCATTTGCTCTCGTTAATGTTGCAACATCTAAAGACTATTATTTGCAATTATAATTCGATTATTTTGTTACTTCGTTATTTTTTCTTTATATTATTGCAGGTTGAATTGAGAATACGTTTATATGTTATAAATGAATATTTCATCGTGTTGATAATGTAAGTTAACTTTAAGCATGAATTATTAATAAAATATTGAAGATATGAATTTCGAACATAAATTTATACTTGGTTGTATGCAAGCATTTAGTATAAAAGAATCTATTTTTGCATTTTTTAAAACAAATTGATATGTTGCTAAATAGGGAAGCAATTCATTTCTTTATCTATCTGATGCTTTATCATGTGTGCTCATAATATGTATGCTGATCATATTACCATAATATCACAATTTATTTTATTTTTCTGTATAAAATAAATTTAATTATTTTACTAATTATATTACTTTTAAAACTGAATCAAAAGCTCTAAAATGGACATATAATAAGGCACTTGTGCACTGTAAAATAGTGCGGAAGAGAGTCTCGTGGTGTCCTAGAAAAAAACAGAGGATTTCTGAGTGGAACTGTAATATAATAAATATAAGTTACCACCTCGTTCCTCTTCTAACAAGTTTTTATATTTTAGTTCTTGCAGATACATTTACAATAATTATTTATAAAATAACAAATTACATTCATCCTTTATAGGAAAAAGGAAGTCGATGATTTAGTCATGGAATGTCTTCAAGAAAAACAGGATGGAGGAAAGAAAAAGAAGAAGGCTGCTAGTGAAGAGTCTGAAGATGGTGAAGAGGAAGAGGAAGAAGGATCTGAAGAGGAAGAGGAAGAAGAAGAAAAAAAACCAGCCAAGCGAAATCCTGGTAAGAAGGCTCCTAATAAACGTAAGAAGGGATCCTCCGAAGATGAAGAAAGCGCTAGTGATGATGATGCTAGCGATGAAGAATACAGTCCAAAGAAACCTAAAGTTACACCCAAAAAAAGTAAGATATTTTTTTATTATAGTAAAGTTTTATTTTTTGTCAAAATTTCATAAAAGATTCATGTAGAATATATTATATTTTTTTTATAGGTAAGCCTGGAAAGAAAGGAAAAAAGAAGGGAAGTGACAGTGACAGTGACGAGGACTGGGGTAAAAACAAAAAAGCTCCAGGAAGTACAGCAAAGAAGGGAGCTGGTGGCAAGGGCAAAGGTGGTGGTTACACACGCGCTATCACACTGTCTCCAGAACTCGCCGCTATTGTTGGCGCAGAACAAATGCCTCGACATGAAGTCGTGAAGAAAGTATGGGGTATTATCAAAGAAAGGAATCTTTATGTAAGTATTATTTGTAATCATTTATCTAATATTTTTGTGCATTATCCGTACTTTATTTTCTATACTTTACTATACTATATTCTTTACTATATTTATTATATTTTAGAAATTATGTATTATATTAAATGTATAATGTATTTATTTGACAAAAATCATGTTGCCAAGAAAATGACTATTTTTACAGGATCCTAAGAATAAACAATTTGCGATTTGTGATGAGGAATTAATGAAGGTAATCGGCGTAAAGCGTTTCAGAACTTTCGGTATGATGAAATACCTCAAAAATCACTTTGTAGATTAAATCATTCTTCAATCCCGATCTCCGACAAGTTATATACATATATATATATAACATATTCCAAGGTGCGTCTCGTGCACCTCTTCATCTTTCTCACACGATACATACATACTATACATGAGACACAAAGGTATTTCTTGCGACTTAAGACTTTAGACCATGTTTACACCATTCCGATATATTCTGCCGCCCATTGTAACCATTTTGTTCCATTGATGACTGCAATATCATATTGATCCAATAAGCTTTATTACAAGTATGACTCCCAACAAATGCGTTTGGAATAAGGCATTTGATAATAATTCATTCAGATAATATTTAACAAGAACAATTACAGATGTTCTTAATGGTTCTTCTTGACACTGGGACAATTGTTACCATGGACATTCAGATGATTCGAAATGTGAATGACATTACAGTGGCCAATAGTCAATAAGCTGGTTTTAAGTCATCTAATTCGAAATAAATGTTATATCATTTGTATGGTCGTCATTAATAACAATATCTTACTCCTAATACAACATAACGTGACGCATCATTATAGCAATGGCATTATTGAATGATAAATTGAAAAAGTTTAATTTTGAAATTTTTCGAAATTAAAAAAAAAATTCAATTTTATTACGTGACATTTCAACTAATACATATACCACATAGATGATGATATAGTTGTTTTCAATATATTTCAAGTATTGAAGAAGTTTCCTTTTTCTACATTCATCTCCAAAAAAATGGACCACAAATTTAAACAATTTTTTAACATCTAGCACTAAGTAAAAAATTGTAATCAGTCAAATTAAAACTTAAATATTTTCTCTTAAACACAAAAAAAAAAAAACAAAAATTGAATTATAAAAAATATTCAACAAATGGTAGACGTTGAAGATAATCGACAAATTTTTGGAAATTTTTTAAAACTTTCAACGGAGTCTGCTGTCAGATATAAAAATGTATGTATTTTTATGTCTCACATTCGTTTTTGAATATTTTCGTTTGACTGACATTTTTTAAAACTAAATTGTACAATTTAAAAAAAAATATTACGAAACTTTCTTCTTAGTTTTTAATTTTTTTATGTTTAAAAACAATGTTCAAGCTTTAATTTAAGCTTTGATTTATCTCAATCCAATAATATTTTGCTAAATTATCGCCATTGGAAGATGTTAAAAAATTATGATAAAATTTAGTAGCTTATTTTTTTGCAGATGAGTATTGTGTTATTATCTATGATCTTAATTATATGTATGTTTTTTAATACAAAAATCCTTAAAGTTAACGACAGATCGTGCATGATTTGTGGTTTATAATTTGCTGTTCGTCATTCGCTTGAGATTAGTGAGTAAGGCTGCATTCGGGAATACACATGCCTCCAGGTATCTGTTTATTCTTATTTAACATTCGGTGAATAACAAGGATAGAATGATATTTGGAGGCATTCGTGTATTCCCGAACGCAGTTTAATATGGACGGGCGGATTCGCTTAATGCGGTTATTGTTTACCATTCATGTTGACTTGTCAACGATATGATTTTCCCACAAAATCAAGGGAAATCACCACAAATCAATTCGTGTGTAGAGCTATACATAACGAACCACAGATCACAAACAGTGAATATGAACAGTTTATCCTAGCAAATGATCAATTTCTGCAATTCTACTACAAATTGTGCGTAGTCTGGCGCTAGTTTTGTGGTATTTTTGTCATTCTTTATGTTTTTATATTGAAGTAATTTTTTCTGAAAAATGGATGTAATAGAATGGCAAATTTTGCCTCCAAAACGAAAAAAATGCGTACATTTAAATTAAAAAAAAAAAGAGAGAGAAGCTATGCGGAAAATTAACATCCTGTACCTCTTCTGTATAATAGCTACATTATACACATGCAAATGTAAGCAAAGTTTAATTGTATTATCGTGTAATTACTAATTATTGTCGTAATATAGGTTTCTTGGTGTAAAAATTGAATCTAACGTTTAAGATCTAATGGTAAAACAATATATTCATTGAAAGGTATCTTATAAGCATATTAAATGATTAAAGTCACAGTGCGTGCAGCGACCACTGGCTGTTGAAGTGTAGGAAATAAAATAATAGGCTCACGAAGCGAGGTGCGGAATCTTAACCGCATACATCTGTCCGAGCTTCGACATGTGTAAAATTCGTGTATTTTGAATATAAATTAAAAAAATGCTGGCCTAAACCAGGAATAAAGCCACACGAATGAGATCATTGCAGTTTATGATAACGAAAGCATTGCATGAAAAAAATGCTATGCGTACGGAATGATACATTAGAATACAAACTTGTTTCTCCAAAAAAAAGGGAGAAAAATTCTATTTAAACTGTAATGTTTCGAAAAATGTATTTGGAAGTGTCATTAAATAATATTGCTTTCATTTTTTTTAAACTGTCTTGTAATTTATTTCAATTATTTCCTAGTACTTCTTAATGACCCATTATATGTATCCTTTAATATTCCGAATAAATGCATTCATATATGTGATTGATTATTTACAATATAAATATATAATTCACTTAAAAATATTTGTTATTTATTTCATTTGACGTCAATATTATTGAGATATTTACGTGCATATACTAGTTTATGTAATTATTTCAAAGAGGAAATTTTATAAATGTTCAAGTTCGTCTTCCAAGAACGATACAACATGTTGATTATCATCTCGCCTCCCTCGTAATCCATATATAAACGTCAGGAGCTTCTTAGTGTTTGCAGAGTTGTCTCTTCTGGTTTGAACTTCCTTATCCTGTAGTGGAGATTTTTGCACGTAAACACCGAATCGAAAATTCGAATTAAACGTCTGCGTACTACGTGTAGTACATCGGCTTATATTTGCCTGAAAAAATACTGTATTAGCATTTTGTGAAATCAGAATTTTTCGTCTACAGAACTGAGAAAATAAAATTAATTATGCGTGATACAATTACATATATTCGATTAATGTGTCTAATATCAGAATTTTACAAATAATAATACATCGAAATATTCGATGAGTAAATAAAAATATTTCTTAAAATTGTTATTACTAAAGAATTCAGCTTTTTATATTCCTCAAATATAAATTTTATCGTTGAAATCTTTTACTTCAATATTATTAAGTTCTTTTGGAAGTCGGTAAAGTTCTACTTACCAGGCGTAATGCTCTACGCTTCAACTCCCAAACGCTAGAAGTATAATATTTATCAATGTAGGGCGGAAGTATATGGATGTCCGTTTGAACTTTTTGATCTTGACGAGTCTTCAGTCGCAACCCTTTTTCCGTTAATCTGCAAAAATTAGTATTTTTTACATTTATAAAATTTCTTGCTTAAGCGATAGAATATGATTATATATAACTAACAACTCACTCTTCTTGACTTTGCATGGCTTCAATTTCTTCATGTAATTGGAACAGGTGGATATATTCCGGATGATTGCGGACAAAATTGAGCGCGTCGTAAACATACCTATTAACATTCGAAATTAAGAAATTTATAGATTCTTTCATTATAATGAAAGAATACCTGTCGGGATTTTTTCCGAATTTATCGGCTACTTCGGGTGATTTAAAGGCGTAATGTTTTCCTCTCCATTTCGCCACACCGTTATTCGGGTTTCCTGGTATAAGGGCGCCTCTGCCCGTTGCAAATGTCCACGCGCAAAATCCTAGAAACTAATACACTCCTCGATTCAGCGTTATTTGAACATTTATTCGACAATAAAATCACATAAATCTTTATATGAACACTTTAATTTTTTAAATTTTGTCAAATTATAGAAGCATTAATTGCTGTTCTATTGCAGTTACCTCTAAATTTATCTTCTCAAAATCTTTAGTGACATTTGGATAATATATCAAGCATTCTCCACACTCCGCTGTAAAAACACAAACATATATTCTTTATGCAATTAAAATAAGATCAAGTAAAAATTTTTATTATTTGTATTTGATATTTATTGTAATTTATAGAAAATTATTAGTACTTATTAAATTGCCCATGGTACGTTCCAATCTTTCAGCATCGGTTAAAATCTCCACATTTTCGGCTATATTTTCTAACTTTGTTTGATCATAAATATTCACAGTCTATAACACAAATTATTCGGGATATATGGTACGAACACGTTTAAATCGATACAGGCGAATGCATTAATACCTTATTGCTCAAACCCTGTAACTCCCACAGGAAGTTGTTGATATTACTCAGAGTGATCACCTCATCTTGTAAACCCATCCATATAGCCGCCAGATCAATAAATTGCGGCTAATAAGCAGAATATGTAATTATTAATCATAATACGGTTACATTTACTGAAAACGGTTTAATTATATATTTTATTCAAATGAAGATTTAATTATAATTTTTCGTGTTTTAAAGGAACATTATCTTTTATTACAAAATTTCACTAATAGAAAATAAAGTTTTTTTAAACAAATTATTTCTATTCTACAGAATAATGATATATTAGATTTACGTGGAAACAAATTAATCTAATTCCAGCTGAATTATTACTATTATTCTATTAAAACTGAATATGCGGAATTCCATAACTTTCAACTTCTGAAAATAAATGTTTTAAATAATTATGTCGAGCATTAACTATAATTTATTCTTTCAAGCAATCGTATTTACGTAAACTTGAGTAGTAGGAATAGCCGTTCTGTATCGAACAGTGTCGTGAAGTTTAAAAAATCGTGCTTGAAGACATTCCATCAAGTCCTTCACTGCATTCTCACTGCGCTCCACATCACTCAGCAGCTTTCTATAACAAAATTATATTAGAAATCGTGTCAATTGTGGAGATCATTTATTATTTATTTTTATAGATTATTAATTATTATTTATTAGATTATTATTTATTTACAGATTATTTGTTTTTTTATTTCTCTTTCTATAAATACCTGATGTAGATCTCTTGCTGACGACAAGCCGTTAACATTTCGATGATCCACTCAATTTTTTCTTTCACGTCGGATGCTGTTTCCTTTGAATTGCAACAGATAACATCCGAAATATCGATTGACATGCATGTGACTGCATTTTCCACGACAGCCGTGAATTTGTATATCTTGGCCATCAATGGCTCTAACAGCTCAAGAATAGAGTTGCGGGTCTTCA